TGCCCTGACCTGCAGTCTCCCCTTTGTCTCTTTTTTTCTTAAGCGCTTAACCTGGTTTAAATTAATGCTGCATTTTTTACAAACTGGGGTACAGGGGAGGGAAGGGAGGGAATAGGGGGCAAGCAAGGCAGGGGCTTGGGTGGAGAGGAGGTAGCTGGTTGAGGGTGGGAGTGAGGGGTGCTGGGGGCCTTTCACCAGGATCCCCCCGCCTTGGGGGTCTGTGTTTCCCGTGGTAGTGGTGGCTGGTCCAATAAAACACTGAGCCCCTTCTCTGGTGCTGTGAGTTATTTGCATCGTGGAGTCCTTGGGAGGTTGGGATTTGGGGGCCATCTATTTGGGAAGGCTGTAGCTTTGTTTGGCCTCTGGTGTCCTGCAAGGTAAGCATAGATGTGACCTCTAGACCCCAACCTGTGGGTTGCCCCACATTCACTGTGGCTTTGGCTCCCAGCATCCAGCTTCACTCCTGAGAGAAAGATTTCAGATTTTACCAGGGGGAACAAGCACAACCTGAAGTCCCAAGCAGCAAAGAGATGCCTTTGCCTCAGTAGAGGTGCTGGGTGGAGGGGTCCAGCTAGAGGTTTCCCTGCTCCCACAGGATTAGGTTGTCCCCCTGTCCCCGGTCCAGCCCACAAACTCCAGAGTCCCTGGAATAACTTCAGGTCCCTCTCGGCTCTGCCCACTTCCTGGCCCCAAAGTAGTTCTGTCAGTTCCTCCCTGCACCCCCTTGCCCAGCCAGCACCCCTGTTTGTCCCGCCTCCAGGCCACAAGCCTCTTGAGTGCTCCTAGCCGTGCCGGCATGAGACAGGGTAACAGCACTACCAGGGTTGTCCTGTCCCAAAGCAACCCAAGCTACACTGCCCCTTTAGCCCATGCTTTCCCCACTGTGGGAGGAAACTGAGAAGTATGTACAACACAGACACACCTGCCTAGCATAGCACGGCTGTTAAAATAAAGCGCACAGCTGCCTGATCCCCTCCCTCCCTTAGTGTCCTGGGGTGTGACCTGCTGGGGGAGCAGGGTCTCAAAGAGGGGGGGGAAGGGGGGCAGTCCCAGGCCCTGCCCCAGGGAGGATCCTGCTCCCTGCCCCCACCCCATTCTTTGCCTCCAGGTGTGGCTCAGCTGACAATAATTAAGCCCTGGTTGGGCCTTGGCCCTGTGCCCAGCACTGCCTGCACTTCCTCCTCCTAGGCTCCTGGCAGGGCCAGGACCACGGGTCTCCACCATGGACCAGCACTGGGAAGAGGAGACAGGATCCAAGTGGGCCGGTAGGGGTGGGGTAGGAAAGGGGGCTGGGAGCCTCCCTCTCCCCTCGGGGGGGCACTGGCTTTGATATATGGCCCCCATGATAATGGAGGCAAGACAGCCTTCCTTCCCATTCTCCACTCCTGGATTCCTGGGTCCTGCCTCCAGCAGGTGGGCAGTGCCTGTCATCATCCCCCCCTATTCCCTGCAATAACAAAACTCCTTGGGGACAGTAATGCAAGTCTCTGGGGACTCAGCTCTGGCAAACAGATTCTACCCCTCCTCCTGTCCCCCCCAAACCAGCACCCTGGACTCCTGGGTCCAATCCCATAGCTGGACCCCAATGACTTTGGGGGTGGGGGGCATAGCTAGCTGTATTTTCTCTCCTCCCCCACCTCAACTACACTCTCAGCTCCTCTCCTGCCCTCTCCAGCTGGGACCTGGGGGCATCAGCCCCCCTCAGCCCTCTTCCGCCAGCTGCCAAGCAATGCCACCCTGCGCTTTCGTGGGAACAAGGCCTCGGGCTGGGGGGCTGTGCTGGGGGAGGGGGCACCCCAGGGGATCCCCCAGGCCTGGGGGAGTGACGGCTCCAAGGAGGAAGTGGCAGCAGACATGGAGACAATCGCCCTGCAGGAGCTGCCCCTGTGCATGGCAGAGAAACGGAGACACAGGTACCCATGAGCAACCTTTGCCAGGTCAGACACCTTGGGCAGTGGTAGCCCAGCTGTGGTGGAAAAGCTGTGTGGGAAAGCTAACAGACTAGCACTGAGGGGTGGGGGCAGTTCTGGGAGCCAGAATGCCTGGGTTCTAGCCCAGCTCTGGATGGGGACTGGCATCTGGTGGGTTACAGCACCAGGGAATGGTGGGGTGCTGGGAGCCTGGGTGCCAGGGTGGGATGTAGGGCCTGCATGGGGTTAACACTGCCTCCTGCCCTAGGCTGCAGGCACAGCAACAGGCTGGGCAGCACACACGCTGGCAGCAGTGGCAGGCAGGGCAGCAGCGCCTGCAGAGAAAGGTGGGCAGCATCCTGCTCCACACCCAGCTCTGGAGGAGCTCCCTGACCTGCATTCAAGGTAGGAG